GGGTTCTAATGATGCTTCCCACACTACCACCAGCATCCAAGCTGCTCAGTGGGGAAGACTGCATCATTTGAATGCATATATAACAAAAGAACCACATGGAGGGTAAATGAGAGTAGATTTGGAAAAGAAGTCTGGAAAGACTGAGACTAGAGGCAGGAAGGGAAGGAATGAGAAATGTTGCTTGGGAAAAGCTGGGAAAGGAACCTGTAAGAAGCAGCTAAGAAGGGCAGAAGACAGATCAGTGCAGGGAAAAGAATCAAATTGGTGAATCTTAGTCTGAAAAGAGAGACTAACCGGACAAGGAGGAGGGCTCTTGGCAGAATTTACAAGCCAATTCTAACAGATCTGTGATTGCTTTGAACTGAATCACAGTTTTGGCTCTTGATACATTAACAAGGACAAAAAAAACCCACAAAAAAGCACTGCAAAACACTTACCAGTAAATAAAAATGCAGATTATGCCAACAGTTACAGCCAGCTGAACAGTCAAAATGAGATACACTTTCCTGACGAAAGCTAGAAAATAATGCAGATATTATTTCAAAGTGGATTCAGTAAATTTGTGCTCAACATCATTCCATTTTAAACTTGTGTGAATGAAACAATTTAGATTATATCTATAGCATTAAAACACACACATACACACAGCTTACTAACAGATTACTACAGAGAGAGAAATATGAATGAAGTAGATATGGCACTTAGTAGCCTGCAAGAAGAATGTATACTTCAAGCCACAAGTAGTCCCTTTGAAGTCAAAAGTCTGATTTTTCTTAAGTAAAGTTTTTTGTGTTTTTCAAAAAGGCATTAGGTGTTCTAGTGCCAGATGCACTTTTGCCAGCAGACAGTTGCTGAAGACTACATAGATATGACTGTATCCATACCCAAAGCACCACTGTGAAGTTACAGCCCCTTCTTTCAGCTGGCAGAGCAACACCAGCTCCCACACAGAAAGCTGCTGGGCAATGGTGAAAAGGCTACAGAAGCTGCAGGTAAGCATACCATGTCCACTACAAACTGCCATAGATAGCCCTTTAACAGCAATGCCTTCTCATACTGGAGCCAACCTTAGGCATGGGTACCACGAGTGGCAGGGACAGCCTCTGTGTGGCATGCAGCAGATCAGGGAGGGGACAGGCAGCACAGCAGCAGACAGGGCAGGAAGCAGAAGGCAGAAGAGGAAATCAGGTAGGGAACACAGGGCACACCTGCCAAACATGCTGGCCCCCAGTGCCATCGTGCCTTCCACAATTGGCCAGCACAGCTGTAAAGCAGAGCTACATGGATCTGTCTGGTTCCACTTAGCTGTGAATGTGCTCTGGCAGGTCTCTTGTAGTGGCTTGTCTCTGTCAGCAGAACTTTTGGTGGCAGAAACAGCCTAATGTAGACAAGGCCTTAAAAGAAATAAGACCTGGCTCCAAAGGTGAATCTGGGTACTAAGTTCATGGAACATCTGAGTCATGGAGGGCTAGAACCTAAATCAGTCCATGCTGTGTGTAAATGCAACTAAACACAAATATTAAATGTGAACAACCATGAAATAGCTATCAGAATTCCACCTTCTGCCAGGAAATCTAACTAAAAAATATAAAGTCCTTTAGGGACAAAACAAGTTTTTATATCCATAGCAAGCTGTGTAAATGGCAAATGGGGAACTGCACCACAGATCACTTTGAACATACCCCTGAGAAGATGCTTGTACAGTCCCAGAGAGCCATGGATGTTCTAGAGGGCTGCAAAGTTCAAAAGCATCTGGGAGCACAACCCATAATGGGATTATGGAGATATATTTTGCAGCATCATTTGTTGAATATTAAGTTTAGTGGTGCTAAAAATTCCATGTTGGCTTTGCCAAAATAGCTCTCACAATCAACTAACACTGATAATGTTAACTTTACCTCAAGCCCATACCTGCCAATCATCTATACCGTGAGCCCCTTAGCTGGGCCCAAGGGTAATCCAGCCCAACTCTGGAAACTTTGCTAAATTTCTGAACTGGAAGTTGACCCTATAGCCACTCACTTCCTTGTCCACTTCTATCTGCAGTGTGTTTGGCCCATGAAGTCTGCCAGCAGCACTTCCCTACCTAACTTCTGACACTTCCACACCTTTCTCTCCCTCCTGTTCAGGAAATAGAGACAAGTAACCTACAAATCTGTTCCTAGAAGGGCTCCCCGAGGGTATTTGGGACACAGCTTAATGGCATGCTCAAAAATTACAATGTGGACAACTGTGGTAATTGACTACAAGATAGGCATAGGCAGCCCGTGGTTTGAGCTGTCCTCAACCCTTAAAGCTGAACCTCAGTATTATATAGACAAGCTGAACCTTAATATTATATAGACAGAATATAGGGACATGGTTTGGAGTTTGCTGAGATTTTCAGCATATAGACAGCACTGGGATTTGAAGTGGTGAAAGGCTCTAAAATCAAGATTTTAAAACATCATATACTCTGGCAAGCAAGTGGCCATCTTTCCAGTTGTGCTACAGAACCTGAACACCCACCAAAAATCCTCAAAGAGTATAATTTAATTTGATAGATGCTCTGCAGTACTTTGGACACACATAATGGTTTCCAATAGAGAAACCTACAAAGCATAAAAAGTAATTCATTGTAAAAATAAATGAGGGAACCCTGGTCAACTTTTAATTTATGTTATCTTGCACCAGCAAGTATGCTACACTGTTTACGGGAGACTTGTGAGATTCCTATGTGGTACTAGCTGCACAGAAGATACTTTAGCAAGATCATGGGCTAGTGTTTAGACCTCCCTATGTTTCACTTCCCCAACAAGGACAGTTACATCCAAGAGTGCCTTTGGATGAGTTCCCTCCTGTGCCCCCTTATCGTAGCTGCTTTTCAGAATGCAGCCTAGGTCAGGAATTCACCCTCTTTTTACCTTGTCGGATAGCCTTGTCAGAGAATTGGCTGGACTCTTCCATAGGACTCTGATATGCAGGGGGCTTGTCATGGACTGCAGCCAGACGATCATTTGGCATTGCTTCTCCAGCTGCTTGATGCTGGTAGGCAGGAGGCAGCAGATCAGGATTCTCCACATTCAAAACATAAGGTGAAGGGCTTGCCGGTGGATGAGTCTGGACCCAATATTGGGCCGGTGGAACCCCCCTGCCCTGATACTGGTTCTTATTGAATGGACTCTCTCCTCCAGCTCCAGCTCCAGCTCCAGCTCCAGGATAATTTGCTGATTCATTTCTCTCCATCTTCAGATAACACTTTTCTTTTCTGTCAGAGTAACTGAAACAAAATGAATTAGTAACATTATATCTACAGGCAGGATACTTTACACCTGAATCAGTGACATCCCCTCTCCTTCCTGCCTCTCCCTCCCTGCAAAATACACACACATACCATTCTTTCTTTAACTTAACAGGGCCATGTATAAAAACACTTCAGCCTCTTAAATAAAGGAATTATGCATCTTTTCTATTAACAGAAAAATACAAGTTCCTAGCCATAGTGACAATTAGACAGCTATTAACATTGTCAAATTAAGGCCTATTATTAACTTACTGTTATTTCTCCCCCAGAGTAGAGACTTCATTTGTGTGAGAGAACAAGCAAAACTGAGCTCCTGTCAGACGTAAGATACTGCCTTATGCCAAACTGTTGATCAATTTTTGTCACACCTGACTCCTTTATCAGAGTTAAGAAATTATTTACGTAGCAGGAAGTGTTCAAGGAGAGCTAGATAAAGAAGCCGTCCCTTTGTGAGCCATAACAATATAAAAGCCACCCATAGAAAAAATTACTAGCTTGTGTAGGTTTGTTTGTGGCTGTAAAACCCTGACTCTTCCATTTCTCCCCATTTTGTATAAGACTGTGCTCTAAGGAGTTGCCACAGTGAGCAGATGCTCTGAAGAGTCCACAAAGTCATATAAAAATAAGCCATCAGAGAGAGATTAAACCTTAAATTGCTTAATTCCAGGGTGCCAGGCCCTTGTATCAAGACCAAAACTATTTGATCTTGGTACCATCTACCATGTGTACCTGCCAAATACACAGGGATACCAAAACCTGGTCCTAGTCAGGAAAGCTATATTACTTGACCTTCTTAACAAAAATACTTCATTTCAACCCAGTTACGCAATGAAATAGTCAGAAAAATCACTACACTGATTCAGATTGAAGTACCCTAGTGCCCTGCCTCCAGCAGTAACCAACACTTTTAAATGCCTCAGGAGAAAATGTCCTCCCTCTTTAAGGGCAAAAAAAGCATTGCACAACAGCAACCACCACTAAGTCTCCTTGGTTTGCCAATGATACAGTGCTGTATGGCAAATGCAAGAAAGGAATCTTTTCCAATCCCCACTGGCAACTGAGCACCTCGCTTTCCTATTAGAACAGCACCAGCAGTGTTTTGTGCCCTAAAGCAGGGTGCTTACTTACTTTTATTATAGTACCAGCAAAGCTAATGACATTCTGTAATTCAGAGAAGTCTTGAGCCCTTTGAAAAAGCATTTGGCTTAAAGCTTTCTGAGGCAACACATTCTACAGGCCCAAGAGATAAAGCTTGGGAAGATTAACTTTTATTTTCAGTAAAAGTTGAACAGTTGGCAAACAGAAGGGATAAGGGATACAGTATTATAATAGATCTATACGCCTGGAAATTAAAACAAAAACGTTAGGATTTGTTTTTTTTCTTTCTTGGGAATGTGGATTTCTATAATTTTTTTATCTTTGGAAAAAAATTTGACAATTTTAGAGTATTTTAGAATAATGATTTTAACAAAACCTGAAATTGATTTCCAATATAATGTTAGCTTTGTTTGTTTTAATTTGAACAACAAGAAATACATGTAGCAATTCAGGCATCCTCTTCAATATTGACAATAAAAAACATAAGTGTTAACAAATAAGTAACATTTGACTCTAACTAATTTATCCACAATGATCAAAGTGCAAAAGATAAGTTTAAGACATACATTTGATTAAATTTGATAAATTAAATTTGATAGTTTTAGTTGCAGTATCACCAGCTTATTACTAAGGCTATATTTAAAAGAAGACGCGAGAACTGAGAAAAATACATACAAAATAAAATAACCAACCTAATTAATTATGTTTCTGTTTTCAGAGCACATCCTGCAATCAGAGGGAGACCAAAACACTCTTTCTAAAAAGTCTATTTAACATATAGACTAATAAATAACTGGCTTCTAATGCAGGACTTCTGTACACTGACTCATTAGCTGACGACTGGTTGAGAGGCAGCTGCTCTTTCCTTTAACTAGCCACACCTGCATGAGCTGGCTCTGTTAGCAGGTAAGTGTCAGAAAGAACCTGATGGATTTAGATCCAAATTTTCCGAAGCTTGTACAAGGCCTTCCTGGAGTTAGGGCACTAAGCCTGTCTTTGAAAGACCGAGGAAGTACTGGAAAGGTTATTTGGGTAGATGTGGTATCTTTTATTAAACCAACTAAATACTTGGGAAAAGGTTCTTTGTAAGCTTTCGGGCACAAACACCCTTCTTCAGGCACTGGGAAACTCTGGGGAAGTACTAGTAAGTTGGTCCTGTCCCTGAGACAGTATCTGAAGAAGGCAGTGGTACTTCCCTCTTCTAGACATTGTGGCTAGAACATGTACACAGTGTGTGGGAGATGGGGGGCTAACTCCTTCTCCTGGTCCAGGAAATTTGAACTTATATTTCCCACCTCACTTGGGATTATCCTGTAGGAAAAGGGCAATGATTCTCAGTAGAGGTCCACAACACCCTGGGGTGCCACTGGATCCTTTTAAGGGTGCTGCCAGGTGGAACAGCCTTACCACAGCCCCGTTTCTGGGAAATGTCATGTGAGGCTAGACTGGGAAGCAGCAGGGGCAGGAGGGATGTCTCTTGTTCCAGCCAGGCCTGCTAGGAGGGGTTGCCATGAAGCTGCTGCTGCTGCTGCTGTCCTATCTGAGAGCTCAGACCAGCAGTGCCACCGCCATGGACAGGACACATGTGCTGCCTCTGCCCTTATGCTTCCCAGTGGGAAAAGGGCAACCCAAGCTTCATGCAACAAGGCAAAATGGGGAGGGGGGGAGTGAGGAGAAGGGACACGTCTCACGTGTCAGGAAAACGAGGGGCTCCCTCTGCCCGCAAGTCAGGGTGCCCTAGTTCTAAAAAGGTTGAAGATGTTGGAGGTATACATCCTCAGTTCCTCCTGTAAAAGCTGCTCTGCTTTCGTCAGCATTAAGAATATTAATAAGGACAGAAAAAGGATGCAACTGTGAGCATGATTCTATATCTTAAAGCTTGCAGCCTGCCCCAGGAGAGAAGACCTGGGTTCTGATCACTGCTCTACTGAATCCTTATTTATAAAAAAGGTAATTACTCCAGCTTCAGCTCATACACTGGAGAGCAAGGAAGTCCCAGATCCTGGGGGACTGCTCTAATTGCCAAACTACTGGATAAAGTAGGGAGGACGCCCAGCAGCACAGCCTCCTTTGTTCTGTTCAGAGTTGTATTTGGCAGGTGTCTTCTGAGAATACCACCAAGATCAGAACCCGAAGCTGAAATGGGCAAAAGAGAACCTACTCTGTGGATATTGTTGATGCACAGGTGCAAGATAGGTGCCAAACCACTCAGCACTAGCCAGACTGAGGTGCTTCTGAGCATGCCCAGGAATGGAATGTTCAGCACCGAGGAACTTTACCACTGGAAACCTTGGCGCCCACAACCTCAGGCGTTCCGGAGTTGGGTCAGCTCAATGGGAGTTTTAAGAGTCAACATTTGGGGGTTAGGCACCTAAACTGACACTTAAGCATCAAGGTCCCTTTGTGGATCTTAACCATATCCCCATATGCTTCTTTTGTGAGCAAAAATGGGAAATAAGTGATCAATGGGATTTGCAAGTGGGTCAGCTGAGCATTAACAGACCACCTTACTGAAAACAGAAGCATATAAGCACACAAGGTCCTGTCTCTGGATCAAACCAGGAAAGAGAAGCAAGCAAGGAACTGTCCCTCAAAAAGAACCTCTATCATTAGGATTGTCATCTTTTCCAAACATCCAACCCCCAACTGCAATAATTATATATGCACTACTAGTGATTTAAATGAGCATCTATCTGAAAAAAAAATTACAAATTTGCCATACCTATTGAGCCAGGGATGTACTTCAATGATTTGCACTGTCAGGATGATTCAACTAAAATGTTCTTATGCAGAATACCATGCAGAAAATAACTCAGTATTCTAATACAAATAAACACAACTTTCATGTACTGTTATTGATGCAATATAAAATCACCTAGTAATACAACCCCCCATACTTTTAAAATCAATATATTGTACAGTGGTTCATAGTACAGGTGTTTTGAAATATACACTGCATATACTGATAAGTCAAGACTTTGATCTATGTCATATTTTAGGAATTACGATTCTTACTACTTCAACTCCTTCTAACTCAGCACTCTTTTACCTCATTCAAACCCAGTAGAAGCTCAAATTCTGAAGAAGTTTCATGCTGTTCTTTTGGAACTGTCACTCCAAAACCCTCAATTCCTGTCAGGTCCAGGTAGAAACCAGATGGTTGTCTGTCTTTCTCCAAGTCTTCCCTCCTAACTTTTAACTGAGCCTAAGTTTAAGTTCTACCATGCTGTGATACCAGGAAATTGGCTGGGATAATATAGCAAACGATCAAAATTTTCAAACATGATTAAAAAAGAACTGGGCAAATAAGTAAAAAGAACTTGTGTTCTCCTAGGTGCTCAGTATTTCTGAAATCAGACCATTTCTTTAGGTGCCTAAAATAGGAAGTTAGGCACTATTTTTTTTAATATTGGTCTTAGGAATCTTGTTGTACATATCTGGAGTGAAAATCCATATTTTCAACCACATAGCCTAACCACAACAGCTTACCAACATCTTCTAGGCCGAGAAGTAACAGAACAAGCTTAACAGTAGTACCTGGGTCTCCCATTTGGTAGGTCATAAAACAACCATAATAAGTACCTCTTAATTTATAGGTGCCATTTGTATGCCTGGGGGCCTCTGGAAAAAAGAGATGATTTTCCCTGTTTGGTTCTTGACACAAAGTCTACATCACAAAAACCAACATCACCTTTTACATTATTTTGTCAACGTACTTCCACCCACTCTTGACAGTCTAAACAAGAAACGCAGTGACTCAATATGCACGAGAGCAAAACCGGCCTGCCAGATTAGGAATGAGACATACTGAACTGTAGCAGTTTCTACTTCCTGTAAATCTCTTTAAATAAACAGTATTTCACACCCCCCCAGAACAGAAATAGTCTGATACTTTCACCTGTACAAAATTCACTTGATATGTCACAACATCACACCAGTGCTAGATTAACAGTCCACTGTTCCCTTGTGGACAAGGTAGTTAATGTTTCACTACATTAACGTACAGTACAAATACATGAGCTGTCCCTCTGGAGTTGTACTTTGAGCTGCCAGCTAAAATTTTTCCACCTGCACAATAAAACTGCTTTCTGCTTTAACCAAACAAATTAAAGTTCAATAGCATTAATCAAAATTAATTTAACCTGTAAAATTAAAATAAGAATATTATGGGAGCTATACTTCTTACTAAGAATCACAAGGAGTAATTACAAATGAATTTTTACCAGAAGCAAATCTGGTTAAGCTTTCATATGTCTTCAAGACAGATAAAGAGATGCTATCTATGTGACCACAAAGGAAAATGGCTTTGTGGCAGTAGTTGGGGGACACTGCAAGATGGAGAAGCCAGAAGTGAATGGAGAAGATGCAGAGAAAATTATGACAATGATGGTAAGAAATTACCAAAAACACATGAGCATTAAACACCCCCCTAGAGTACCTTGATCTCTTAGAAGCACTATTTCACGTTGTGATGTTCACAGAATCAGTCTTGACAGGCAATATTAATTGCCTACTTGGGACACAAACAGTCGCCCTTCCCCACCCTTTTCTACGGTGACAGGAAGATGGTGGCTCCACGAGGCAGCGAAACTCCAGGCAAGGTTCTGAAGGCGACAGTTGGGAAAGAACGGTAGGGAGAAGCAGGAAGGACGGTGGGAGAGGCGTGTAATTTCAGAGGTAGGTCTCCGGGTGAGCACTCTGAGCTGAAATATGTCACCTTAATTTTAAAAGAACAAATATGCAGGGAGGATTTGTCGTCAGGGAAATTGTAAACGAAGCCAAAAGGCATGTGGCTACTGAAAGAAAAAGTAACAAAAGAAAAGTGTTGTCAGAACAGAAAGAGTAAGAGAAAAATTGTAATTTAAACCATAAGAGCCTTTGAGGTGCTAACAGCAAACCTCTTTACATAAAAGAGCAAAAAACAAACAAAAATTTTCTGAGCTAGTTCAAAATCAAGAGAATAAAAACACACTCTCTGGCCACAAACTCTGAAAGGAACACAAGAAGAATGATTTATTACAAAATTGGTAACATAATACATCAAATGGAAAAAAATCTGTTTTGTATAAAATGTCCGTTTGATTTTAACAAGATAAGAGCCTTCCAATGTAGATGTGATCAGCCATGTTAGTCTGAAGTCAGGCAGAAGGTAGGGCGAGGTGGCACCTTAGAGACTAACTAGTTCAGAGACATGAACTTTCTCAGGCCTTTGGCACATGTTAAAATAGTATGATAGGATCTGTTCTCCAGTCCTGACAACTATGCATCTTGCCATGCCACGAATACTTATTTGGAAACATTTCTACTGATCAGGCTGGTGAAACTCTGCTACCAGCCGTGGTTGTGGAATCTCCATCGTTAGGGGTTTTAAAAAAATGGATAGACTAACATCTATCCAATATCTAAGAACATCATATCACAATGTGGTAAGTATTGTAGCAATTTCATAAATGGAGACTTGAAAGAATTAAATTTTTCTGGTGGATTTTCATGTTTTTCTTCCATGGTGTGAAGCTAAAGCCTTAATAATTTTCTGTTATATTACTGAAGTATTTACCATGATTTATTATCTCCACGCACATATTCCATGCTTCGCTACACTGTACATACATGCACAGTCACCAAATCTCTCTTTGTCAATCTAGTATTTTTCTATATAACACACTTCCCTATTCCAGCTGAAGATGAAGATCCTCTGAACAAAAACGTGCAGTGCACTGATTTAACTACCAAAAATGTAAAGCACTTAGAAATGTTTTCTTATAGGCACCGTCTTTCAAAATGATCAACACAAGTGAATCCTTAAGTATGCACAAAGTCCTATTGAATTCCATGCTGGCTACCCAACACAGACCATGCTGTAGGATTAGCTGTTATATATTCAGCAGTGAAAATAGGATAGGACAGCCAGGGCAATCATCCGGGGAGCTGACCTGGGGGAGGCGTAATGTGAAAAAAGGCTGCTACGATTGCACTGGAGGTGCAGCAGCAACTAGAATTTGCTGCTGCCCCTATGCTCTGGGCACCTGGCTGCATTGCTACACTGCTGAATTAATAGTGGCCTTTTGTGTCAAGCTACAGATTTCTGTAGTTAAAAAAAAAAAAGAAACTGCTGACTTCTCTGGTAGAAAAATTGTTGACTCTTTTGGCAAAAGAAAGTTGGTATTAGGAACAACAAAGGAAAAACTTTCCCAATGACTTTTGTGTGGGGATGAGGATCCCCCATGGTAGAGCTACTAGCAAAATCAAAGTCCGAACCAGTGACTGCTTGGAAGCCAGTGAATCATCAGCTCCAACTTCCTTCACTTAGATAATCCTTAAGATACTAGTACCTAATTAACATTATTAATACTAATAGTATTAGAATTATTCAGCAAGATATTGTATTTTTCCCCTTTTTGCTCTTCTTTCCCAGCACTTAGAAAAAATGACAGCCTTGGAATCTGAAGTCCTTGATTCATCTACGAAACAGGTATAGCCTCAGATCAGCAACTAGGCTTAACCAGTGATATATGTCAGTGGGCATGTCTATACAAGATGCTAAATGTGCAGTAGACTGATTCTACTGCGCATTAGCACAGCAGGCAAAAACTGTATTAATGCGCTAATCCGCAGTAGAATTAATTTACTGCGCATTAGTGTCACAAAAAGCATGTGCTGGTGCTACTGCGGAGTACCACCAATTATAGTGCATTAAGTTAGTACCTGGTATTACAGAGCATTAATTAAATTAAAGTTGTTTCTTGCGATTTCCCAGTTGGTCTAATAAAAGGTATCGTTTTGGAAACAAGAGTTCTAGTTTTTTGTATGTCTTCTTGTCTCAGACCAACACGGCTACCAAGTACACCCTCGATCCACATTTAAAGTTTGTTCACGACCCTTTCGTATATTCTTGCGACAATCACAGAAAATGGAGAAAACATTAAATTCTTATTTATTTCTTCAGGTTGGCCCTTAATTAAAAATAAAATCTTTCATTACTTTGAGATTAGGCTGCAGCAGATTTACTGCAAGTACTGCAAATATGCCTTTTGGAAATACTCATTCAAATTCTGGATGGATATTCAGTTCAGCCATGTTGGTAGGACCCCTTTTTGTCCAACTGAAGGGTGTTTTGTTTGGAAAATACTTTTTCTATATATACGTATCTAGACTTGTATCCAAACAAGGATATTCTCCCAGCCTCAAGGGAGGTGGAAGGAAAATGTTATATCAAATCTACCTAATCCATTTTCTTAAAGTTAATTAAAGAATGGGCTCTGTTATTTCTTCCTAGTCCAAAATTGAGGACAAGCCCAGAGCTGGCATTGTCTGAGGGGGCCCTCAAGTCTAAGAAAGCTGAGGACCAGCAGCCTTGGTACTGGCCCAAGGAGCTTTGCAGCCTTGCCAAAACAGCAGGCCTCCACCCTGCCCGGTCGTGGCGCACGCTTCCTCCTGGGCCTTCCTTGGTTCTCCTTTGGCTCAAGGCTGCTGGTCCCGGTGCCTGGAAGGCTCCATGAACCAACATCATATCTCTGCACTTAAGGCACAATTAACCACTCAGTGAGGCCTTATGCTGTGACCCTGCCATACTTAATGGCATGATAAAATGAGGCATAAGCCTCCAAACTAGTCCACACAAAAGGTGCAGTAACTGTGTGGCTCCTTCCTACCAGCCATGAATTGAGCATGTGACCAGCTGCTCCCCTGTGGCCCATCACGTGAGGGGGCTCCCAGCTGCTGTGGGGGCAGGGGCAGCGCCTGGATCTTGGCCTGGAGGTGCAGGGCTGGCAGGCAGTGCAGGGGCAGCCTGGGATAGGATAAGGCGATGAGGCGCAGCGCTGCTCCCCACTGTGGCGCCTCCTCCCCACACAGGCACATCTATGGGGATGCTTTACCATCTTTAATTTTCCCTGAGCCTGAGGAAGGGCACGTGCGCCTGAAAGCTTGCAGAAAAAAATAACTTTGTTTTGCGAGTGCTTAGTGGGTCTAATAAAAGGTGTCATTTCTGAACCAAGAGTTGTAGCTTTGCATTTCTTGTTTTGTCTCGGACCAACCCGGTTACCGAATACGTCCCTCACATCCGCGCCCCCGCGCCTTCACATCCCGGCCCGCGAGGGGCGCGGCGGCGCAGCGGGGAGGGCGGCGCTGCAGGGAGCT